GTCACCCCGAGCGAGCGAGCGAGCACTTTCCTGCTGCCCCGCTTGGCAGCCAGCCACTTGCAGGGCTCCACGTAGTGTGAGTCGCCCGTTTTCATTACTTGCCAAAGTCACTGCGCTCTTGTAAACATTAACTTGCGCACTGGGTGCTCTTTCCAAGGGCCTCCGCCAACCCTTGCAAGGCAGCCCAGGGCGTGTCAGAAGCCCTGAGGGAGGGGGCCAAAGCTGCCCTGCACTCACTGGGCTGAAGGGCTGGAGCAGTTGCTTAAAGCCGGGGCAGCAACCCTGGGCATTCCCTGCCGGGTCGGCTTCCGGAGCTGCCGTCAGGACCAGCGGGGGCTCTGCCTGCATCGGGGGCACTCTGGCCACGGTGCCCATGGTGCCCACGGCTCAGAGGCTGCTCGCTCCTTAAGCCTTAATCCCAGGGCTCTGCTCGGCCCATGCCAGCCTCCTCCGGGGCTCCCAGAGGCCCCTCTGAACAGCCCTGGCTCCTGGGCGGGGGATATGCCAGGCAAGGGAGGGAGTCTGGGTGTCCCCTTGCCCCACCCAAGGGGAATCGAGAGCTCCATGTAGCTCTCCCAGGAGTGGCGCTCTTGGAGATCCGGGCCACACCCCGAGCCCTGCTCTCTTCCGGGGCACCAAGGTGAGCAGTGGCGTTTCCCTGATTAGGTGGGCAGGGCAGACTCCGTTGACCGTCAGCGCAAAACTTATCACCTTGGTCCCTGGTACAGCTCAGCCTGTGCCCACAAAGAACGGGGGGAAAGTTTAGCAGCCACCCAAAGTCCCGGTCATGCCTAGGATTGCGTGGCCAGGAAGGGGGGGGGGGGCTCGAGGGGGGTGGAGTACGGTGACTCAAGTGGATTCCTGAGCAGGGCAGCGGGCGCTGGAGGCTGGCAAGAGCAAGGAGCAGGCAGGCAGAGAAGCCCAGCGTGCCGGAAGGGCCATCCTTGGTCTCTCCAGGCGCCCTGCCAATCAAGCCCAGGCCAACCATTCCCCTGCTTCCCCGGAGCCTGTTGACCAGCCGTTCTAAACCGTGGCAACTTGAAGATGTGTGGACTTCAATTCCCAGAATCCCCCAGCCGGCCACTGCGGTAGACATTTGCAGAAGTTTCTTTAGGCCCAGCCCAAACCCCTAAAACTGTAAAGGAGCCTAACTCCTCCTTCAAACGACGACTCCTCCTTGCTGGCGCTTTGCTCTTCCTCAGAGGAACTCTGCCCACAGACGTCACTATCCAAGCCAATCCCTGAGGGTCTCCTCTTCCAGGACGATCCCGACGCTGGAGGAATCGGTGGGTTTCTCTCCATCTGACCTCCCACTGACTTTGCCCACTCAGCCTTGATGATGTAAACCCCTCAGAGTCGCCTTTGTTGAAGCTGGCAGTTTATAAACACCACCTATCAATCCATCCCCTTTTCCCACTTCAAAGGGCCCTGGCTGTAGCGCACCTGGGATCCTCCATTTTGGGTCTCTCATCCCCAGCCAGCCCGCCTCCAGAAGAGGAAAGCTTTTCCCAGGCAGGATTGTTCTTTCAAAAGATCCGTTTCCCAGTTTAAGGATCTGCTCTGGATGCCGGAGGTTTAGGTAATCTGCTGGTTTCCACAACTCTCGGCTACTTCTTCACCCGCTCCAACTAAGCTACAATGGCCCTGGGGTCTATTTGGAAACACCATCCTTGCAATGTTTGCCAGTATTGTAAAAGCTCTATTTTATTTCTTCATTGTGTTCCTATTCTTGAGCCATTTACCAAATCCAGTGGTCATCTGACCTCTGACCCCATGGCTGCTAAATTCACTGGGTTACTTAGGTGAGAGGAGAGATCAGGCAGAAGATCGAGAATCTTGGTTGTCTTTGCGGTTATTACAGACTTTTTAATCAGAACTTGAAGAGGCAGAAGTTGCCTTCTTCATCCAAATAATGTTCCTTTTACATGCTTACAAACATTTGGTTTCCCACCATTCTATTACATTATAAATTCTCTTATTCCATGGATCGAAGCACTGGTGCTCCCAGCACTTGGGATTTTTATCAGCCCTTTGCAAACTTTTACCAGAAGATCAATGATTCTGCGTCTGAATTGATCCAACGTTCAGCGCTTCCGCTGGCAGGTCAAATAAACTTTCTACAGTTAAAAATTAACGTGTTTCTTGTAGTTTGTTCTTCCGAAAATCCTCCCTTGTTTTACAGAGCTTCTTCATCCGAGGGAATTCTGCTTCCGACCCAGCTGGGCCCCGGTCTCTTCCAAAGGCTCCCGTCCCCTGCCTGGACCGGCCAGCTGGCTGGAACCCCAGGAGTGGTGGGGGAGGCAGGCCCTGCACGCATGGGGCCAGCGGGCCTGGCTGGTGGGGTGCAGCCAGCCCAAGTGCCCTCCTTGCAGCAGGAGCAGGAGCCGACCGGCAGTGGGGTTGAGTCTTCGGGGCAGCTTTGCTCATGTCGGCTCTGAGGCTGGACGGGGCAGCCCCCAGGCCCCTCGCAGAGGAAGTCTGGAAGGAGAGAAGGATCTGAGCCCAGGGAAGGGGGCTCCCTCAGCCATTGGTGCCTCCTGCCCCCCCCCGCCCGGCCCCTCAGCATCGGCAGGGCACTCAGCACAGGCCGCTCCCCTCACCCAGCGAAGTGCTGCTCTCGAAGGAGACCAGGAGGCTCGACACCTCCAGGGGCCCCGGCTCAATCCGGCAACCTACGGCTGGTTCCAGGGCACGGCCTGGGAGGGGGCCACTCTCCTTTAGGCCGCCCCCCGGGATTTCCACAGGGGGTCTCCAGTTGGGTGCCTGTTTCCTGCTGCACCACCTGCTTTTCCAGGATGAAAATGCCAGGATCAGCAGGGCTCCAGAAAGAGGGTTTAAGATAATCTGGGAAGAGGAGCAAGACAGAAGACCCTCAGAGAGAGGCTGACCGGTTCCCCATCCTGCTGTGTGGCTTGGCTCACTGGCTTGGGCAACTTATTTCCCAACATCTTGGCAGAACCTTTATAATTCTGCAAGTGTTTGGAGGAGCGAAGAGGAGGAGGGCGGCTTGGGAAGGCCAACCTCCCTTGCAAGAGCGGTGAGACTGCAAAATGTCCAAGAGACCCCCGCAGCTCCCTCCCCCGCTGGGGTTCAGTTCCAAGGACGCAGCCCAGGGCTGCAAAGGCCCTCTAAGGAGACAGACTTCTCGGGGTGTTGGCCTTTGGAGGGCCCCGCAGCTCTAGCGCATGCTGACGGGGGACACACCCCAACCCACCATAACTGCCCAGCAGGTGAGGGCTGCCCCACGCAGCTGCCCGGTGCCCCATCTCCCCAAGGGCTCCAATTCCAGCAGCAACAGCAGTAGCTCATGCAGGACATTGGCCAGCCAGCTGGAAAAGAAAAAAGCCTTTTTAAAATCAAATCCCGCTTAATTTGGGGCCCCACCAGTGTGGGGGTGGGGTCCGGCTGTGCTCTTGCAAACCCAGGGCTCCCTGGACTGCTGGGGGCTGGTTGATCATTTATTTTGGACCTGCTAGTCAAGAAAGCTTCTAGCCAGGGAAGAAGCGCCAAGACCCCTTCCTGGGGCACAAGGGAAACCCACCAAGAGACCCTTCGCAGTATGGCCCTGTGTTGCACAGCTCCTCTGGAGGAACAGGGGGGCCCTGAAGAAAGATACCCCCCCCCTCCGAACCAGCAGATCTCCAACGTTGGGAGACAATCCAGGGCCTTGGCAAGCTGAAGCCGCCCTGGTAGGTCTGTGTGTGTGTGTGCGTGTGCTGTGATTGGGACGCCTGCCTTCCTGTGGTCTGGCACCTGCCAGGTTAGGGCAGGGCACAGATGGCACGAAAAGGGTCCTGGAATAAAGGCTATACTACCAAGCAGCAAAGGCCACCATGACGCTCGTGAACCTCCTGCGCAGCTCCTGCTGCTGGTGCCATTCTCCGGCCGCCTGCATCCCCCGGCCCCTCCGCAGCAGAGCTGGCACTGTGGGAAGAAAGGCCGCCCAGGCTCAGCATGGAGGCACTGCCGCTGCCCAAGTGGGGCCCAGGGAGCGCCTGGTGCGCAGCCGCCCGCCTGGCCCTCCACCCTGCCAGTGGCCAAGGTGGGCCGGCTGCAACTCAGGCCTGGCGTTACCCCCTCCTGGCGCCTTCCTTTCGTGCAAAACTTTCGCCTCTCTTCTCGCGAGGGGCCGGTCTCCTCCCAGGGCTGCTCCTTTCCCAGCCTCAAGAGGCCCCCATCCCCACTTGTTCTCTTAGCTAGTTGGAGGAGCTGCCCGATAAGAAGTCAGACCATGGAGGATACGGCTGGTGGGTGTCAGAGAGCAGAGTCCCAGCTGCTTGTATCACGGTTTGTCCAATAAAACCTCACTGGTTAGGTGGACATCGCCTATTGGTAAACAATCAATGGACAAACCTATAAATAAATGCAAGATAATTTACCTGCCTGGAGTGCTTTGTAAAAGAGCAGGGGACTTCCCAAAACAACTAAGGAGAGTGGCACAAAGCTAGAAGCGTAACACACAGTTTCCAGGATCCATGCCAATCCGTGGTGTGAGCTGCAGCTGGGATAAGAGGAACGGCAGAGCTAATTAAAAACCAAACCACCGGAGGCCAACTTTTGTTTGCTCAGGCTGCTTGTCCTTTCAGGCCTCTGGATTTGGGCCCAGGAAGGGGCAGGAGAGTTGGCAAGGGGGGGTGGGGTGGGGTGGGAAGCAGGTCCCTGCAAGATTTGAAGGAGCAGCAGCAGCTGGAGACACGCCAGATGTTGGCCGCTGGCTGGCAGTCCAGGCGGGGCGCAGCTCCAGTGCTAGCGCACTGCCTTCAAATGCTGAGCATGCAAGAGGACAGGTCCTGGGGGGCAGCTTCTTCTGCCCCGGCTTTCACCACCACAGGACCCCCTGGCCTTGGGCAGCACCAGCCCAACCTCCCCCTTACTCACTGGGACCTCCTGCTCCGCCCATTGTGACTCGTGGGTTGAAGGCCCCCGGCCACTTTCCCCTCCCAGGTGCCAGTTTAGAAGAGGCTCGTCCCGGAGGTGGCAGGAGGGCGCTTACTCCGTGTCCTGGGGCTTCGTCAGGAGCAAGAGTCCAAGGAGGACCTGGATGGCTGGCAGCCCCCAGCAGAGGAGGCCGTAAGGAGTCAAGGACCTGCTCAGGAGGAGGAGCACAGAACCCCCTGCTGGTCAGTGGGAGGCCCTCATCAGCTTCCACCTGGGGGGGGGGGGGACACAGGGGTTCAGACAGAGGGAGGCTCCCTGCAAGGGGGGAAGTGCAGGCCCCCCACTGTGCAAGGCAGCCGGAGCTCTCCTTGGGGCCCAGCACACCTGAGCCCTTCCAGGTGTGTGTGTGGGGGGGTTGCAAGATCTCCATCAGAACCTCCCCTCCCCTCCCCCTCCTCAAAATCAGCTCCAGAGCTCAAAGTGGGGCCGGCACCAGGGGGTCCCCTTCACACCTGTGGCTGGTGGGGTTCTGCAGCAGCAGGGCCGCTTCCAGAGAGTAGCAGAAGAGAGCCCAGAAGTGGGAGGAGAACCCAAACTGCACCCAAACCTGGAGGAAGAGAAGTGAAGGTCAGTGGGGAGGAAGGCGGGACCGGTGCAGGGGGGCAATGCAGGAAATGAGGGCCCCAAATTGCCCTCTGGCCTTTAAATGCGTGGGGGGGGTGTCAGTGTTGGAGGGAGGCCCCACAGGAGCAGAAGGCCCCTAGGAAGAGAGCAAAAGGGGCGGGGCGGGGGTCGGCTTGCTTCGGCTCTCTTTTCACATGACTGGATTCCAGCATCCCAACTGGCCTTTCACTCAGGCACTCTTAATGGAGGCTGGAGCACCAGCCGGGCTGCTCTCCTCTGTCCCACGTACCACGATCAGGCGGCAGAGGGAAGGCAGGGACCCCAAAGGAGCAGCCAGCCAGAGCACAGAGCGCGCCAGGATCCCTGCAAGAGGAGGGAGAGCTGGTTAGGATCCTGGCCAGGCTGGGATTGGTGTGGGGAGGGGGGAAATGGGGGTAGGGCGTTATGCCCCCCGCCCTGCAGAAGCCAAGTTTGGCCTCCGTATTGGGGTGATGTTTTTAAAGTTAGCCAAGCTAGGACAGAAATATAAAACTGATTTCATTACAATTAAGCAAACATAGTTAGTTATGTAATTTGCAGCTGAACAGCAATTGGGGAAGGTGGGGAGGGGGGGTGCTCTTTCTCTAGCGTGCCAGGGAGGGGCTCTGGGCATCTGCCCTCCCCCCCCCCCGCAAGCGGCCCCCAGCCCTGCCCAGAAGCCCCCAGAATTCGGGGCCAGCCGAGCCGGGAAGGCGCCCGGAGCCGCTCCTGCCCGCTGCCTGGCGGGGCTGGGCGGGAGGGAGGAGGGCGAGGGCCGCCCCGGCTGCTCCCGTCACTCACCCGCCGTGCCCAGGAAGCTGCCCAGGAGCGCGGCTGCCCGCAGCGCCCTGCCCGGAGCCCAGCCGCGCCCGGCGGAGACCCGGCAAGAGCCGCTGCAGCGGTGGCGCGGCCGGCTGCGGAGCGCGGCCAGCAGCGCGCCGGCCAGCAGTCCCAGCGCGGCGCTGCCGAGGGCCAGTCCGGGCCAGGGGGGCAGCTGCCGGGAGAGGCGCCACAGCCCCGCCGCCGCCGCCGCCGCCGCCGGAGAGCCGGGCTCGCAGCACAAGGCCAGCGCTCGCGGGGAGGCCATGGGGGCGGTGCCCGGGGGGTCGCTGCGGCCCTGGCGCCTTCTTGCCCGCGCCGGGCGGCCGAGACGCCCGGCGGCCTCTTTTCAAGGGACCTCCGCCCACCTGGCTCGCCTCTCGTGGCTGGGAACGATGGGAGGTGTAGTCGCCTGGTGGCGGGGTGGGGTCTGGGTTAAGGCGATGAGCCCCGCTGGGTGGGCGTGGCTCGGCAGGATCCGGCGGGGGGATTGGATTGCATCAATTGGGTATCTAAAGGCCTCTAATCGATGCAATTGAAACGGCAAAGGTTTGGGGGCCCTGAGGCTCCGGGGAAGCGGCTCCAGAGGGACGGAGGGAGAAGCCCAGCCGGGACCAGCCGCCTGGGCCCCTTTCGATGCCCAGCGAGGCCCCCCTGGGCAGAGGGGCTCCCTGCCAGTCCCGGCGGCCTCGTGGCGTGCCTTGTGCCCGAGGCTACCTGGCTGCGTTGGAGCAGGCCGGAGAGGCGGGGGCGGGGGGGTCAGTCCGGCCTCAGCTGCTTCTTCCCTAGGCAGACAGAAAGCCGGAAGGGGAGGGGGCCCTCTGCTCCTCCCCCAAAGGCTTAGACGAGGCCAATGTGGGAACTGAGCCGTTCACCCCCCTTTTGGACCGGGAAGTGAAAAAAGGGGCACTGCAGCTTTAAGCTCTTCCAAGGGGAAAATAAGGCCAGCTTCCCCCACACTCCTTGAAATCCTTCCAGCCCAGCACCGGAGTCAACTCCCAGGAGCTGCTGGGGGGGGGGGGGGGGGGGGGGGGGGGGGGGGCCGGTCCTTCAATGGGGGGGGGGGGGGGGGGGGGGGGGGGCGGGGCAGGAGATGCTGGGCGGGTGGCTGCCAGAACCGAAGGCAGAAGCTGATGGGCACCAAAGGTCCCCATGCAAAACTGGCCACTTGGTGGCTTGGGGCACTCAGCCCTCTCCTGTGGGCCAAATTCTCTGTCTCCCTCCTGCCTTCATCTGGGGCAAAAGCAGCCAGTCGGTCTCGGCTGGGGCGCCCAGCTGCCCTTATCCAAAGGGGCAAAGGGGCAAAGCCCGCTTTGGCAAGAGCAGCTGAGGCTGGCCGTAAGACGGCCCTTGAATCGGGACCTCCCGCCTCCATTCCTCCACAGCCTTCTGCAGAAATGGCAGCAGTCTGTTCCGGATGCTGAGTGAGAATAAATAGCCCCCCCCCAACCCCCCCCCCCCACCCCATCTTGGCAAGCAAGGTGACCCTGGGATTCTGCGGAGAGAGCTGGGCTGAAGCGCAGATTCATCTGCAGGGTGGAAACCTGTGCCTGGTGTGTGTGTGTGTGTGTGTGTTGTGCCTGTGTTGTGTGCTGATGAATTGGAAATGAAGCCTGCTCCTCCCTCCCCTCCCCCTCCCCCTCCCCACACTTTTCATGTGCACCCTCATTCATGCGGACCCCAACTCGGAGGCTGGCCTAAACGGTTTGAAGGATTGGAGGAAACCCAGGCTGTTCCGCCCCCCCCCTGCTCCCCCCCCATTTGAGACAATGAAAGTTTGTAAGGTAACCCATTTTGGGGACGTGATCCTGCAGACAGTGCCTGCATGTGCGCATGCACACACACACACACACACACACACACACACACACACACACACACACAATCCCCGCAGAAAGGCACTGGGGAGGAGGGTGATTGAACCAGCATTCTACAAACCCTGGTTGCCATGGAGAAGAATCCCGGATGGCTGCCTGCTCTCCGTCCATGGTGGGGCTGAATGCTTGTGCCTTCTGCTGGAAGCAGCTTCCCCCCCCCTCCTCCGCCCCTCCTCCGCCCCCCAATTTGTCTGCAGGGGCATGAAGGCCACTCTGGGAGGCAGAAGCCATGGCTGAGGGCGGGGGACGCTTTGTTGTATTATGCGGGGGTGTCATGGGGGGGGAGCCTTATTGGTCAGCTACTGCTGGACTACAGCGTCCAGCCTCCTTCACTATCCCTATTGTAACATCTGTCCAGCTGCCGGAAGAAATACCAGGAGCACAGCGAAGATTTTACCTGCTAAATGAAATGGCTAGGACAGCAAGAGGGGGCGGGGGGCGGGGGGGGGCTTTATTCCAAGTGGTTTCTATGCGGCCTTTGCTGAGAAAGACCCCAGGCAGCAGCCGGTTTGGCCTGGCCCGCTGGGTTCACGGGTGGGGCTGGGGGCTGGCAAGGGGGGCATGGAAGGCAGAGGCAGCGGGGTCAGGAATCCTCCTCAGCCAGGGGCTGCTTGGGGAGGGGCTCTGAGGGACGGAAGCAGCGCAGATTGGGTGGGGGTGGGCAGCAGAAATGAGCCTGGCAGAGCCCCCCCCCCACAGGTGTTCCCTCAAGCAGCTGAGGGAGGTTGGCCTCCCAGGGACTGAGGGGGCTTCCTCCTGGGATGCAACAGGTGCCTCTCGCAAAGCCTGCGTTGTTGGAGGGGGAAATGGGGGGGGCCCAGCTGGCATTTGAAAGGGCTCCTGGGGAGTCCAGTGAGGCGCCTCTTCTGGGCTGGTGAGGCAGGATCGGTCGGGGCGGGAGAGCTGTAGAAGGCTCTGGAACCAGCCCTGCCGCCTCCGCCCCGCTTTTGGTGAACCCCCTCCCCCATCCTGATGCAGAAGTGGGGTCCCAGCTAGCCCCACCTCCCCAGCCCACGACAGGTGCCTTGGTCCGGCTGCAAAAGGCTTCGGCTGGTGGCTCCCGGTTGCCATGGAAACACCACCAGAACCGGCATCAAGCCATGAAGAGGAGGGGGCACACGAGATCGCAGGGAGCGGGTGATGGGAGCACCCCCCCCCAAGATGCTTGGCAAGAGACACCAGTGAAGGTCCTTGGCACTGGCTCCTGGGGGCCCTCCTGGCCCCGTCATGTGCCACTTTGCCAATGAGGAGAGAACAAGCAAAGCTGTGGCTTTAGATGGCCCCCAGCGGTAATGGCTGCAGTAGTGGGGCCTTGGGACCCTAAAGGCAGGGAGGGATTCCCCATCCGCTGCTGCTCCAAAGCACAAAGGCTTGGGGGGGGGGGGCTGGAAATGGTGGGAGGGGTGGTACTTGAGGCCAGGGGCTGCCTCTGTCAATCTGGCCTGTCAGACCAAACTTAGTGAAGGGCAGCTGGCAAGGGGCCCCTTGGGGAAAGAGAACCAGGGGCTTCCCAGAGGCTGCCAGACCCCAGGTGGGAGCGACGCCCCCCCCCTCCCTCCCCACCCCAATGTGACTCCAGCCCAAGAAGAGACAGCACAGCCAGGAGCTAAAAACATCCCTTCCACTTTATTGGGAGTTGGTTCTCCTTCCTCCGCTCCAAAATACATCCCCCCCCCCCCCCCCCCCCCCCCCCAGGGAGAAGCAGGCTGGTGATGGGTGGAGGAGACCCACGCAGAAGTTTTGAACTTCCAGGCAAGCTGGATCAAATCCCACCGGCCACCTGCCCGAGAGCCCCCTCCCTCCGTGTCCCGCTCCCACCACCTCGGAATCCTCCCCTTGCCAGCTGACGGTGCTGCTGGCCACTGGGTGGGCCCTCCTGCCCGCCAGACTCCGACAAGGCAGGGCTTGCTGTCTGCTGTCTCCCCCACCAGGCCCTGCCCTCTTCCCCCCCAAACCCCAGGCCTGACACCCACCCGTGGCAAGTCCTCAAGCTGCCTGTCAACCAGCAGCCCCTGTCCTGGACCTGGCAGCCAGCCACACAGGGGCGAGTCCCTTTCTGCCCCATTGCGTCCAACCCGCTGCCCCTACATGTGCCACCCTCCTCCCCCCTGCTTCCCCAACAACCAGCAGAGGGATAGCCGTGAGTTGGAGGGCAAGACAGGCTGGCAAGAAGCCTGAAGCCGAGGCACCCGACGTGGCAGAGGGCAGGGGGAGGAGCAGGGATGGCCCACTGGACACTATGGCTAGGAAGGGCATATCAAAAATACAAAATGGCCTCGTGGTCTACTCTGTGCCACTGCCCACCCCCAGGGAAGCCTGCTGGTTTCATAGTTTGGCACAGATGCAGCTAGAGGAGGAGGAGGGGGGTGGCTGTGCTCGCCTGGGTGACGTGTGGGTCTAATTGGCTGTATCAAGAACACTTAGTTTAAAATCTTTACAAAGGACAAAACACGGTGTCTCCGTTAGTGTTTAAAGAACTAAAGATCTGCTTAAAAAACGTCTTTCGGAAAGAAACAGACAGACAGACGGTATCTCCGCAACATGAAAAGTGTGATATGGAGCCAGGGTACCAGGCGGTGCCTGCTAGGCCCAGCATCAAGGCCAGGGGATCCAGGACCCACTATGGAGCTTAGAAACACCCCCAC